ATTTTTTAATGACTTTGCAAACGCTGACTATTTTTCAATTACCAGTCCGAAAACTGGCTAGTCCGTGCTATTTTTACTGCAACATGAAGGTACCAGGTTCATTTGAGCCCAGTACTTTTAGCACAAATTATAAATTTATGTGTAAAAATCTATTATATTGTAAAAATTAGTAGATATGAGCTCATAACCTTAAAAGTAAAATAATTTATATGCTAAAAATCTTAAGATTGAACTGATAAAATTTAAATCTTAGATTCGTGTCTGGTTACGTGTATATATTAGGTTTAAGTTTCCTTTGCTGACTTGAGCAGTACGACTGAACTAGCTTGTTATAGAGAGAGAAGAATTGATTTAAATGACAGGTTAGAAACCAATTTTTTCGTAGGAAACAGTGACAAAGATGAAAACGACCACCATTATATCCTTTCTTTTTACGGTGTTACCAAAGAAAACCCAATTTTTAGGAAGAAATCCCTGAATTGTAGGAGCAATTTTTTTAAAAATTGAAGCAACAAATTATTCAATCATGTGTGATAAGTCCGATCCTAATTTAAACTACTTAGCATATAAATCAAACTCATAGAATAAAAAAAAAATTAATAAAATTTCAATAATATAGTCGAAGAAAAAGACCGAAAGTCTAAAGTATCCCCACACAAAAAGTGAAAGGGCAGAGGGAAACTGAGTTTGTACAATGATTTTCACCAACCACAGTTTCTTCTCCAGAAGTCAGAAATTGCCGACAAACACGTATTTTTTCGAAGAAATTGTTGAATCAGACAAGACTGTCCCATAGGACAATATATAGCAGGTCAAGCAGTAATTATCACATTGAAAGCTTTTCTGGACCACGTTTTCTCTTGGACTATCATTTAACTGTTAGACAACTTTGCCATCTCGTCCTAGTACACAATCAATTATGTTTTCAATATTTTTTATTCTATTTTTTTTTTATATTTTCTTTTAACTGATCTTTTCGTATTATGATATATTGGAAATAACTTTTTTAACTTCACAAAGTTAGAGTAAGGTCTGCGTACATATTACCCCTCGTACCCTACTTGTGAGATTACACTATTTTTTTTTGTTGTTGTTTAGTATTATTTGTAGGGGAGCCTCAGAGCAATGCGGTAAAATTGTTTCCGTATGATTTATAAGTCACAAATTCGAACTGTGAAAGCAATCATTAATGTCTGTATTAGGATACTTTTCCCCTGCCCTGCGTGAATGCGGGATGCTATGTGCATCAGACTACTCTTATCTCGGGGAAAAAATAGAAAATCTGATGAATATATTAAACCGTGATTTACAGGATGTTTACTGAATCATGCAAAAGGCTGAGGATCATGAAGAGATCGGATGCAAAGGTGATAGGGATTCGAACAAAGGACTTTCTCAAGGGAATGTACAAAGAGAAATGAGGCTTTAATTTGCAATCACTGGATTAGTGAGAAATAGAGAGATTAACCACTGGACGAGTGGCCTCTCATATAATCAATTACGTTAATATTTTGTTTCGTATGTTTGTTTCAGATATACACTACATCAAATGTCGCTGTAATTTAATTTTAGGTGTTGTATAAGTATATGATTTCCTCTTCTAGTTATTTTGTTGCTCTATTATTGTTATGTGTAATCCAGATTCTGGATAATGTGCTTAAAGCTCGCAGCTACTGCATTAACTTTTAGGACATGTAATTTCTCTTTTTAAAAAATTTCGTTTCGTTTTTATCTCATTATATATTATTGGTAACTATGTTTTATTGCAACGTCGAATATGGTGATCAGCTTTAGTCAAGTTTCCGAGACCCCATATTTGAAAAATTAATCTGCAACACAATTGTTTACAAATATATCTCTACATGAAAAATAGGAAAATAATGATGTAAGATACTGTGCCATTAAAATTTACATATAGTTTTTGGGACGCTAAGGTAAGTTTGGACACTATTGAGATATCAGATTAGAGGATATTTAGAAACAATGTAGTAATATATTATATTCTCGACGTGCGAGCTTGATTTATTTTAGACAAGAACATGTAAATTCATTTTTTATAGCGGGAGACGATAATACTCGAAGACTCATGGATTTCCGACCGCTACACGAGATTTTGTATTATTGATTGCAAAAACAGATTAATTAGAGAGACCTACGTACAACAACAAATATTAACTGTTTTTGATAAACTTAATTAATTTGATAACTAAGAAAATAAAATAAACAACTTGTTGTACTAGCTAGATACAAATACACTGATAATTTTAAAAAACTTATACTATCAATGTGCATAATTAAATCCTTTTCTATTCTAAAGCAGGAGCAATAATACATTGACCCCCGATACGCAAATATAGCTCTAAAATAGATAATTTTGATTAATGTGGTGGCTAGGTTCATTCTGTTGTTTATCTGTTCAACATAATTAAAGCTTGGATCAATCAAACCCCTAGAATCCAGTGAAAAGTTTACAATGCCACATGGTATAATTGGCCTAGTTAGAAGAGATACCAATTGAATATATATATATATATATATATATATATATATATATATATATATATATATATATATA